TCACATATATTGTATAACACGGATTATATTTTTATGTTCGACCCATCTCATCGGTACGGAGTTTTTATCGATCAGTGTTATAAAAACTAGACTAGATCCGTTTGGGAAAAATCGGGAATTGTCCAATATGTTCAAAGAGTTTAAAATTTAAAACCCGTTGCTCACCTTCGAAACTGTTTTATTATTTGCTTATTTTTACTCCTCGATTCGACACTTTGCCCTTTAAGCTCCTGTTTAGTGGACATTTTGAGTCCAAGAATACATTTTTTTGTTTGCTGTGATAAGGAATATGTGGTTGAAAAGGAAGAAAAAGTTATTGATGTCATGAAAAATATTATTTTATTAAAAAATGCGTGGTTGAAAATGAGTACAAGAATGTGAATGAAAAAAAATAATATGACTCAAATAGGGGCTAAAACATTATTCTCGACACATCTTGAACAGTGAGAGAGTGCTCACTAGGTATACTAATAGCTTGTTCGACTTCGATATAGTAAATTGTACGATTAGCCTCCCTTTCTTGTAAATAATGAATTATGAATAATGGAAGAAATTTGAAAAGGAGAGTTCAAATGATGTGAGAAAGCACCAAAGAGACGTTTTGATTACTGTTATCAGTTATGACCGATCCTTGCCCTCAACTACAGTGAGATTTCATAACCCATATTAGTGAGGACGGCAGTACCTTTTTCTGGCTGTCTCCCTGATTCACTATTCAATATCCCCTCCCATCCCCAAGTGACCACAAAATTTGAGCCATGAGGATGAAGATAGCAGATACATATTATGTTTCACGAGCGGCTGAATGAGATTGGACCGATGCCCCATTATCAAGCCACTAAGTTCAAACAAGCGTGATTGAAGAAGAAAGACGGGTGAAATAGATTTTGATTACCTTATCCAATTCTATCTAGTCAAGTGAATAGTGTATTCTAAATGATATAGGATCCGTTTAACACGATTTTTAAAAGTCAAAATGAGTTTTTAAGATTCAAAAATTATTTGGGACATATTTGATTAATTTTATAAAAGTATTTCTTCCTAGTAGAAGAGCTTTCGATCGTGACTTTCTTTAACAGCTCTTTCAAAGGAGACTCTTTTAGAAATTAGTTCTCAGATACTCAATGTAACTTTTTTCAGGAAAACTCTTCTACGAGAAGGAGAAACAAAAGTTCAAAATAAAAACAAAAGCTATGCCAAACAGACACTTATACCGCGCAATGTGCACTTCAAAGTCAAGCTCACAAGTGCTTGTGAGTGGCGACAACATTAGGTTGAATTATTCAAAGCCAAACTCATCGTCCAAAGGAACATATTCTTAATGAAGAATGTTCATTGGTTAATTAGCTAATCTAATCAATGAGCACTTGAGAAATCTAGTAATCACTCATTTTAAAGATTTGAATTTTAAGAAGAGACCGTTGAAACTTGAACATTTCCTCGTTTTCATCAAATGCCATTACCACTATAACTACCACCATTATTTTACTTTCCACCAGCAATTTGGTTGGTTAAATGGCACCCAACATGACAAACAAGATAACACAGTACTGAATTCACAGCCCAATATAATAATTAAAAAAATAAATAAAATGAAGCACTCTCTTGCCCCGGTAACGATAAATCAAACAAAAAACAAAAACAAAATTTTTCTACTGCAGTGTTGAGTTAAGTTCATATTGCATACCAAACACGCTCCGGATAAATGATAAGTACATTTTGTACAATTATCTAGGCCATTAAATTGAAGTATTTGTTAATGATTTAGATAAATTATAACTTTATTTTGTATTAATTATATTTGTTAGGTCGAACTCAATGTAAATTGATGGAATTGAAAGAAATGAACGAAAAACGTGCCGAAACGAAGAAAATCCAAGGTTTGGGACTAAAATGTAAACATCTAATAGTTAATTCGGACCACAAAACGATGATTGAAGATCATACAAGATCAATTGGATGCACTTGGAGGTCAAATTAGTGAAATAGAGTTGAATTATTTTCACAAATCAATTTTCAGCCGAAAAATTATGCTTCGAATTTTTAGTCTTAACTTGAGACCTATTTTTTGGATAACAAACATTCGAATTGGGGAAATTGTATTCTAGAAGAATTGTAACTCTTTGAGTTAGTTTTTCAACACACTTTGAATCACTTCAATAGAATATTGTAAGAGAAAATTATGACCGAAATATCGAAAACTGCTCAGGGACGAAACGAATAGAACTGGCAAGCGCAAGAACAAAATTTTGACTCGCAAGCCAATTTTATCAATGGCGCGCGGTGGTTAATAATTTACTTTTGCGATTTAGACTCTTTTGAAACTCAAATTGAACGCAATTTTGACCTATTTTCTTGCTCTTATAAATACAAAACAAGAGCTACACATTAAAGAAAACCCTTTCTTGTCTCTTCATACACAATAATATCATCAAATCCATCAAGAACAAGAGATTAATTAATCACTTTTGAGAAAAAAAAATATCAAACCTAGGAAGGTATTGAAGTCAATTACACCAAGATTTTAAAATATTCGACATTGAAATTGAAAATCAACATCTTTTGCATTCTATCATGATTCGGGTGATATTTTTCTATCATCTTATAATTTATTTAAAAACATGTTAGGCTAGATTTTTTTTTATATTGGATAAAGATGAACCTTATTGTTTATTTGTTTTAATTCAAAATTAGTAGTTTAGTATTTTTTGTGTTTCTAGATTGATTTTACACACACATTGTATTATTTACTTGTTTGACCATCAATTAGATAATTAGTTGCTTTTTGTAGTGTTGAGAAATTCACAATAAATTTAAAACGTGACAAAATTAACTCATGTGCAATAGATGTTATGAATAACATTTATCACAATCATATTGATAATCTGAAATTTAATGTGTTCTAATCATCAGATTTTGGACTAAGAATATACTCGGATCGTGATTAGAATAGAGTTAATTTATCTTTAAAAAAGAAGGTTAAATACATTATATTTATCAAACTACATAACTGAGAATCGAAATAAATAGCAATAGGATGATTCGAATTTCAATACAATCATCCATAATTTGATACTTTTTACCGCTTTGTTAGATAATTTAACATAAAATCAAATTAAAATCTCTTTTTTGTTTACACAATTCGAATTACATACATAATTAGCAAACTTGAATTGAATTTATTCACTGTAGGGCGATATCTCTTTAACTCGTCAATTCTATTACTTGTCAACGCTCATATGCGCTTCCGGGTTTTGCACGAACAATAAACAATCCTATCTAACAAGTAAGCAGATAGAAATAATGAAAGGTGCATGTATTTAACTTGTAGAGAAAGAACACGAATAACTACGCATGCATATGTCACAAGATAACAATTAACAGGCAAATACATAATAGGCAAATAAATTATGAAGAGGGGTAAACGGTGTCGATTTATTCAGAGTTCTTANCCCTTTCTTGTCTCTTCATACACAATAATATTATCAAATCCATCAAAAACAAGAGGTTAATTAATCACATTTGAGAAAAAAAATATCAAACCCTAGCAAGGTATTGAAGTCAATTACACCAAGCTTTTAAAATATTCAACATTCAAATTGAAAATCAACATCTTTTGCATTTTATCATGATTCGAGTGATATTTTTCTATCATCTTATAATTTATTTAAAAACAGGTTAGGCTAGATTTTTTTTATATTGGATAAAGATGAATCCTTTGTTTTAATTCAAAATTAGTAGTTTAGTATTTTTTGTGTTTCTAGATTAATTTTACACACATTGTATTATTTACTTGTTTCGCCATCAATTAGATAATTAGTTGCCTTTTGTAGTGTTAAGAAATTCACAATAAAATTAAAACGTGACAAAATTAACTCATATGCAATAGATGCTAGGAATAACATTTATCACAATCATGTTGATAATCTAAAATTTAATGTGTTCTAATCATTAGATTTTGGACTAAAAATATACTCGGATCTTGATTAGAATAGAGTTAATTTATCTTTAAAAAGGAAGGTTGAATACATTATATTTATCAAACTACATAATTGAGAAACGAAATAAATAGCAATAGGATGATTCGAATTCCAATACAATCATCTATAATTAGATACAAAACACTTTTTACCGCTTTGTTAGATAATTTAACATAAAATCAAATTAAAATCTCTTTTTTGTTTACACAATTCGAATTACATACATAATTAGTATAACTTGAATTGAATTTATTCACTGTGAGACGATATCTCTTAACTCGTCAATTTTATTACTTGCCAACGATCATATGCGCTTCTGAGTTTCGCACGAACAATAAACAATCCTATCTAACAAGTAAGCAGATATAAATAACGAAAGGTGCATGTATTTAACTTGTAGAGAAAGAACACGAATAACTACGTATGCATGTCACAAGATAACAATTAACAGCCAAATACACAACTGGCAAATAAATTATGAAGAGGGGTAAATGGTGTCGATTTATTCAGAGTTCTTANTTTAACTTGTAGAGAAAGAACACGAATAACTACGTATGCATTTCACAAGATAACAATTAACAGCCTATTACACAACTGGCTAATAAATTATGAAGAGGGGTAAATGTTGTCGATTTATTCAGAGTTCTTAAAACTTCCAACAGTACAAATATACAGATGGTAAACCAGAGGAAGTTACAGGAGAACAACCTTCAAATTAACTTCTATACCACTACGACTAAACCTAGTTCATTAAATACTACCACTACGACCCGGTTTCTTTTCCCTTCAATTTTTCATGATCTGTTAGACAAAGGATCATGTTGTATATTTAAGTCACGAGGTCTGTTATGTTACAGATCATTAGTCTGCTGTCTACACTTGCTGCCTAATGTTTTTACAAGTAATGGTAATGAAAAATATGAACATCACCATCACCATGCAAAACTGAAAGTACCTATGGTTTCTCCACCTTTCCTAGTATAATCAAGAAAGCAGCAGAAGTCCTGATGAAATGCTCGTCTACGGTTTTAGTTTCACCCATTCATATCGTCCAGGTAGGGGTTTGTCGTTCACTGGATCAAAGTTGTACCTGCAGAAATATCCACACGGGACATCTATATATTTATTGGGCTGATATATGACAAGTAAATAAACAGGAGATATGCCAGAAGTGAAAAATTTATACTTCTCGATAAACTGTGTTTGTTGCTGCTTTTCTTCACAGGCAAAAAACTCGTCCATTTCACCTGCAGTTGGGATGTTTCTTAGCATTGGATTTTGCATCCTGTTATTGGCTTCATTATGAGTGGTGGGGCGGTTACTTGAACTCGGAGTTTGGATGGCATTCTGGTCCATGATCAAATTGCACGGAGTGCTCTCCCTAGTGGTCCTGTAGATTTAAAACCATCAGTATTATATATTATGAGGTACAGACCAAAATAATTAGTTTTATTGTCATATTCTATGCATAGTAATTTAAGATCAAGACGCAAGGCCACTACAGTTAAAATTACTATTCAGTGAAACTTCAATGCAGCAAACCTTTAATACCACTTCCTATAGCAGTATGAGCAATTTATGTATAGTATTCACAAAACACGGCTGATCAAGCAAGAACCAAAAAAGTTGTTTTGCAGCTGAACTCTACATCAGATGGGAGAGGAGCGGGTCGCAGGAAGACTATAAAGAAGAATTTAACTGGAGCAACGAGAGAATTTAATGAAGGTAACGGCAAAATGAACCTTTTATTAAATTACAAAGACTAATACATACGAAAGAGAAGGAAGTGTAATAATTTCAATGAATGCATTTTTGACCATATTTCGACCAAAATTAAGAAAGGAGAACATTTTCCTTAATAAAATTAACAAGGCACGACGCAAGTCAATGGTAGAAGAGTGGTATTGAGTAACACACCAGATTCTGAGAATCGCTTCATGAGAAAATGTTAGAATAAAGTGATTGTGGAAGGTTAAATTGGAAGATCTATAAAACTTGAATTCTTGATTACAAATTACAAAATAACAAAGCATTTATTTCTGACTGAAATTGAAGATCAACAAGCAATTCACAGAATTTTTTGAATCACAGGCTGTAATGTTCTGCAGAATCTAAAACTAAAGACTAAAAACTCAATAGGAAAAAAAAATGAAAAAGATAGTTCGCAATGTAACTGAAAATAAATTCAAACTTCAAAGTGCTTAATGAGAAAAAAATGTAAATTTCTCTTGGACAACTGTATACCAGCAATGCTCAAAAGCAAGACATTTTTTGGAAGAACTTTATGCTAATAATTACCTGTACATAAGTAGAAAATTGGGGTTGAACAGAAAACAAGCAGTCAATGGCAGAGAAATTATCTCTATCTTCATGCCCAGACATTTCAAATTTCTTACATTTAGAGTGGTATAAAGTAACGTACCAGATTCGTAGAATCGCTTCGTGAGAAAATTTTAGAATAAAGTGATTATAGAAGGTTAAATTGGAAGAACTATAAAACTTGAATTCTAGATTACAAATTACAAAATAACAAAGCCCATATTTCTGACTGAAATTGAAGATCAATAAGCAATTGACAGAATTTTTTTGGATCACAAGCTGTAATGTTCTGCAGAATTTAAAAGGAAAGGCTAAAAACTCGACAGGAAAAAAAAAGGATAGCTCACAATGTAACTGAAAATAAAGTCAAACTTCAAAGTGCTAAATAAGAAAAAAATATAAATTCCTCTTGGGCAACTGTATATCAGCAATACTCAAAATCAAGACATTTTCTGGAAGAACTTTATGGTAATATTGGTAATAATTACTTATACATAAGTAGAAAATTCAGGGTTGAACAGAAAACGAGCAGTCAACGGCAGAGAAATTATCACTATATTCACGCTCAGACATTTCAAATTTCTTACCTTTCCCCATTTTTTATGGAGTATAAAATCTGAATTTCTAAAGTTTACGATTTATTCAATCATCCTAATCCTTTAAAGTAAAACTTAAAACAACTAGTCCAACAAATACGAAATTCCAGCTGCACAAAATGAAATTCTAAACAAATAAAGAAAAATAGTTCTTAAAATCAAAATTTTGTTTTTAAAAAAATCCGGAACGTGCAGCACAACAAAAATCAAGAAAAAAAAATAAAAATCACAAACAATAAAGTTCAAGATTCAACAATTGGAATAACTCCATGAATTTAGTTGTTCGTTTTACGAGGCCATAATCTAATGACTATATATCAATGTATCCAATTTTTACAGTTTGATGGTTGGCTGTTCACAGCCTAGATGTACCTACCTGTCTTTTTTTTAGGGTCAGCATCCCTAGTGCATAAGGCAACAAAAAAATTGATACTTGGAACATGCAAGAATACAAGATCCCAGATTTCAATTAGGTGAAAAGTGTTAAAAAGCAGAACAATTTTTTTATTTCTTTATAATTCAAATGAAAATCCAAATTCACCAAGAAAAATCCCTAAATTCACCAAAAAGATTGAATCTTTAAACATGCAAAACAGAAACAGAAAATGAATTAGCAAAACAAACATATTCTTAAAAATTAACTTCAAAAAATAATCTTAAAACATGCTAATATATCAAAAAAAAAAACCCAGCTTTTTTTTATAATTCTTTATCATTCAAATGAAAATCTAAATTCACCAAGAATAATCCCCAAATGTACCAAAAAGGTTGAATCTTTAAACGTGCAAAACGGAAACAGAAAATGATTTGAAAGAGAGAGAAAAAAAACACCTTTCTTTGTCATCAAATTCCAGCAAATTCTCTCCAAATGATGCCTCCATTTCTCCATCACCACCATTTTTCTCATCCTCCTGATTATTTTCCTCCGCCTCCAATTTTCCATGTACTTTTCCCTCCAGGCCGTCAATTTCCTCCTCCTTTTCCTCCTCAAGATTTCGGGGACCCACTTTACCCTTGCCTGATTTTGGCTGAGGGTGTTTCTGTCTTTTAGCTTCTGTCACAATTGAGGGTATGGGCTTCACCAACCGCCTGTTCCTCAGCTGCAAATACGACCCATCGTCATTGCTAATCGCCGCAGCCGATGATTTCTGAAGGGCTAGGGTTTTGGCTCTTGTACGAACACCTAGTGAGGATTGAGCAGCGGCGTGGGCGTGGTTCACCTCCATCACCGCTACTTCGCCAATTACCTTCGATTTCCTCATGTACTTGCCCATTTTTCTCCCTCCCTTTTTCTGCTTCCTTCTCACGCTGTTCACCATGTGTATATATTTCGTCAAGGCATCATTTGATTAAAATGGTCATGTGGAGAGAAATTAGTAACAGTTCTTCGTGCGCGTGCTTGATTACTTGTTTCAGTTGTTTGTTAGGAAAAGAAGGGGTGGTTTTGCAGTTGTTTGTCAGAGAGAGAGAGAGAGAGAGGAGAGAGGGTAAAAGGAGTAATAACCTGTGCGTGTGCAAGAACCTGGTTTTTGTATAAGGTGAGGGGTCGACAAGGAGGTGTAGCGATTGGGTTGGTTTTATAGAAGAGGGGGATGTATGCATTTTAGCTTATCATCTCATGTGAGAGAAGAAATTGAATTTACCATCTCTTTGGGGGCGTGTTTGGCTAAGCTTAAACAAAAATAAGCCCTTGTTTGAAAGTGCTTTTTTGATAATCATTTTTATCTCACCCCTAATTTTTAATCATAAATTCTCCAAAAAAAATTTATTTTTTATATTTTCGCTTAACTTTCCTCTACTTTTAAATCAAGCATTCTTAAAAAAATACTCTCTCGCACGCATTAAAATTAATTTTAAGAAATATTTTAAAAATCAAACTAGACATACATATGGCAAAATTAAATTAACAAATAAGTAAATCAGATAATTCTAGGATGTTTAAATAAATCACATTTTTCCTTTAATTAAGAAGTGTTGCTTATTTGAAAATATTTTTTGCCTATTTTTTTAGGGACTTTTGAACCTAATTACCATTATGAGTAACTTGTATAATCCATTTTAATTGATAAAAACTATATATATTTTTTGCTTGTTTGCTTGTAATTAATAATTGAACTTTTTAAGTTTTGTCAAACTTGCACAAACTTGTTCGATGTTGCTTTTAAGTGCTTATAAGTAGTGAATCATATGAAATGTGTAGTATGATAAATAGATAGTAAATTGTGAGACCTACAAAATGTATGAATAAAAAAATATGATTGACGAGTTTAAATTAAAATTAAATTTTTGCTAACCTACTCAAAGTTTGACTCCTCTTATTGATAGAAACTAATGATATTTTTCACCGGCGATAATCAACGTTAGCTGTCGAAGTGAACCCCTCATTTATCAATCAGTAGAATTATGTTACGTTTTAATGCATTGGACAATCAATAAGAGGCAACGACACCTAGATTGGTGATGAATAACAGTTTTCAATGGAGTTGTGTCTATGAACAATATATCAAGGGATTCATTGTCATCTACACTAATGATAATAAATAGGTAAAATAATGCAGTCATAATCATGTTAAATATGTTAAATGTTTCTATTGGATTAGGGGTTGGCATTGTTGAATTCGGTTTGATTCTTTTCCAAATCAAATCAATAACCTCTAATTATTATATAATGAAACCATGGGTTCCATCTGTAACTATGAAATTGAATCGAATGATTTCGATTTGGTTTGATTTGATTTGGTTCGGTCATAACCAAAATTATAGCACAAGGTCTATCATTAAAAGTTAATACTACACATTCAAAAATCAAAACAATAAAACTCATTCAATGCAAATGACAAGTACCATTTTCACAAAAAAAGTATTGTATGATAAAAAGCATTCACCAAATTAATAAACATAATTAATTAAAAAAAAAGTTGGGCTTCAACTGATTATCGGTTCTTGGTTCTAAGTGCTAGAACTGGAATCGAATCAAAACCAGTCGATTCTTGGTTCTAAAAATAAAAATCATTTAAAATTTAAATAGAATCAAACTAACTAATTTGGGTAAAATTGTTTCTTACTTTCAATTTACGAACCCATAACAATTCTAGTTTGTTTTCTTAATTTGGGTAAAATTGTTTCTAAAAATTCAATTATATCGAAGAATAATGTTGTTTTTAAACTCTGCTTAGAAACAATCTACATAGTGTGAGATCACTATTACATTTTTTAATGAATTAAAATATATCTTAAATTTATTAGAGCATGTGAAAATTATCATTGAACACATTGCAAAGAAAATTGCCTTTTCTAAGCAGTGCTTACAAGTAGCATTACTTTTAATAAAAATGAGTACAGATACTAATGTCGTTGCTTGTTAACATTAACGTTGTAGCATAATTCTAAAGAAAAGTTATGTAGGGATTGTACTGCAAAATTTATGATACTAGTTGACTTTTTTCTTGGTTTCATAATCATGTCTCGAGTTATAGAACATCTAACGCATAAAAGTCAACATTGAAACAATAATAAAGTTCTTGTACTACAAAATAAATCAAGAAAAACTATAGAAATTGGCATAATGGGAATGTTAAGTGGGGAGAGACGACACAAGCCGAACAAAGAAATTCTAGTTCGAGTCACTCGTCGACTTACAAGAGTTAGCTCGCGTGGGAGCTCATTGGCTCACCTGGCATGCACAAATGCTACAATTGCCATTGTTGCATTCTACAACAATGATTATTTCATAACAGTCGCCTGAAAATTCAAATTTGAAATTTTGAAATTTTTCATTACATTTCAAATTCTTAGCCTAATGATTTTGTCTATACGAAGGTAGTGTCAATGCCTTCGATTTTTACCCAACTTCTGCTCTTATCACTGGTTTTTAGATCTTTTCTTCTGATACAAAATTTGCCCTCATCACTCTCCTATGCGTTTGAATGAATTTTTCCCGATTTTATAATTCGTACAGCATTGATATTATTATATCAGTTTGAAAAGTTTTCACTATCAAATCTCCACTTCTATATTTCATATTGTATTATTAGACTATGTAATTTACGCAATGGTTAGCTCATCATCATATTCTTCAAAAAGAGAATAATTTATTAACTTTCTCGTCAAACTTCAAAAGATTCGGCGAAAAAATCAGTTTTGTTAGAAAAATTAAAGTAATTATGCTTTGATTAACCTTTGATTCTTTGTATATTTGGTAGCATTATGCTTGTGATGATATTCGCTCTAGAACACATTGAATCGGATGGGCATAATCGCCAGGTTGCATAAATTATTGCACATTCTTTACAAGATTTTATGTTGATTTTACCCGCATTATTAAATATTTCTTTAGTCTTCCTACAATGCAGGGATTAGAGTTTCCCCCGTTATCCAAGTATGTTTCGCGCTAAAAAAAAAAAAAAAAACCTTTAAAATAAATATATTCTCGCTACATGAGAAAGAATTACGAAATTATGTAACTAGTACTCTAGTTCAAACTATACAAATTTATTTTTTCCTGAATTCGAAATGTAGAAAACTTGTATTTATGCTTGGAGCACCTACATTAGAATAGGCATTAGTAGCGACCTACATCTCTTAATTTACTTCAATGGTGGAATGCATAATGGAATCAGTACCCCGTATTGGTATTATCTAGTATAGCCCAAGACTTTTTTATAGTACTCGTGACTTTATCAACACTTGTAGACGTTAGCTCTATAATAAAAAATCATATGTTGGCCCAATATGCATCACTTGGCTTGAGCAATATTATAACGTCAATACAAACATGTTTTGTTTTCCCGACTAAGAATACAATATTGTAAACAATATTTCGTTTCTTTTATTTGTTATTAATTTGTATGTAATCCATTTTTTATATAAAAAAGGATGTGCATGAAATAATAATTCGTGTACAATTTAACTCCATTTTCATATTATGCAGTCGATCCAAAGTTCGAATAAATGGGGATGATTTTTTTAACTTTATAAATATTTTAAGCTTTGGCAAAATAGAATTTGTTATGTTCACCATTTCTTTAAAAAAATTCATGTCTTTATTATACTTAAGGAAGAAAGTGCAGTTTTTAGTTATTTACAAAAAGAAAAAAAAGAGTAGCAAGTGACAAGCGAGCCGACTTGATTCGACTTGACCCATTTATAAATCCACATACCATAATATTCAAAGGCCAACGTGAAATTTCAATAAAGGAAAATGTGATGTGAAATAAAAAATTGAAAAATAGTAATTCCAAGAAGTTACAAACATTTTAGACCCTTTTTGGGTAAAGATTAAAATTAGATTTTCAATAAATTTTAACAGAAATGAATAAAGTTTGTGATTGAAAAGTTGTGAGACCCATAAAATATACAATAATGCTTCTCATCTAGGCAAGACAGGAAACAAGGAGACAGGGTAATATGTAGGAAAATAATTGAGTGTTGTGTTTTTTTTTTTCAAACTGTCCAATCCGACGTTGACACTTGTTCTCCCTAGATTTGAGCCTATTCCTGTAGCGGTATTTTAAAGAGTGTTGCTACACTTACAACTTTTTTACACATTAAATTTGACAGCCCTCTCACATGAGTGTGAAACCCGCGATTGTGGGCCCTACACCCATGTGAGAAAGCTATCAAACTTAATGGGTAAAAATGTTGTACATTCAGCCTTTTTCTATTTTAAAATAATGTTTAAAATTAATTATTGATTTTGACTTAAATTAAAATTTATCGGGGCCAACAAGTATAGCCATTATCTCGCGAAATGATTCATAGCCGACTTTTTGGACTAGCCCGCTACAGTAAAACTTTGGATACCTTTCTTATATTACGTCAATTTGGAGCTCCTTCACGCGCCAGAAGATAAAATGTTATTTCACGCTCCTGTCCACTCTGGATTTCAGAGTTTTCTCACGTCCGGAGATGAATTCAGGTGGCAAAAGCACGGCTAATTTACAAAATTGGTCCCTAACGTTTAGACTACCTGTGATTTCAAAATAATATTATTCAGCATTATTGGGGTTAAAACATCAATGATTTTAAACGGGAATTTTTTAATCCCCATCCCATCCCATCCCATCCCGCTCTAGCCTCTTCTCCCATCCGCTTTCTGAAAATTTTCAACGAAGATAGTGATAATCCCCCATTCTAGAAGTGAAATTTTGTAACGTCTCTACTCCCATGAATTAGACCGTACTAAATACAATTGAAATCACATTGATAAACTGTCTACGATTGCCCGAATCATTTAGACAATGTCTATTCTATTAAAAAAAGCTGAATGTACAAC